CGAAAGGTTAATTCTAAGTTAATCAAACTTAATAAAGATTTTTAAAAATTCAAAGAAGAATTACAATATTGAAAATTTCGAAAAACAAAAAATATGTATTTACCTGATCATCACTGACATCCCGCGTTTCAGCTGATGTATCTCCAATTGTTCTCTTACGAATTTCCGACATACTTTAAAGATTTATTACTATACAAAAACTTAAAATAATAGAATATTATTATGATTTTTGATTTGTATAACTTTGTTGCATATTTACATATTTAAATATTTGATTAAATAGAGCGGATATGACAGCAACCACATATCATATTTGCGCAAATGAAACTGACAGACTAAGATGCCATATGAATTCTCACATTGAGAATAGTGGGGAAAATTAAAAAATGGGGGAAGAAATAACGGGTATCCTATTGTATTACATTGTTAAAATTTAGGTTAGTTTAAAAACATGAGAACGGTTAGCTTAACTTAGCTCGGTTTTGATTTTTTAAACATTTTTAATTCATTTAATAATGATTATTATTATGATTAAAAACATTTATGGATTTTTTATTGTTATTTTTTAGTTATTCTAGCTAACCTAACCTTAAAATAATGAAGTACAATAGAACACCCGTTATATCTTTCTTTACCTCTATTTGACTATAATATATGTCATGACAATAACTATACCAATTTCCCCCAATATTCTTAATGTGGAAATTTCTGCGGCAACCTTGTTGATTGACATAGGATATAATCATCGTTGATGTTCGGTTTATTTCGAGTTTCTTCGGAAAATCAATAATAGAAAAAAGTATAAATGAAATCTAATGTTTTGTTCACAATATTTCTTGAAAAGGTCTATTCATATCGTATATAAAAAAAAAATATAATATTTTTTATAAGAATTTAATTAAAAAATTCTTTTATAACATATATATATTTTATTATATATGTAAATCCAAATCATTTTGTTAATAATAAGAAATAAATTTTAATTTGTTATCAATAAAAATATTTAATTCTCAATAATTTAATTCTTAATGATCATATCTTTAAATTCTTTATTTGTTATTCATATTTTTATTTTACTTTAACATGATTTCTATTTAATTTTTTTTTTAAATCAAGATTTTCTAACAATATATATAGATAATTTACAAATGAAACGCGTGAAATACCAACTTTAAAATGTGAATTAATCGTATAGTATAGTATGAAATTTGTTGTAATGGTATAACGTTATAATGATTGTAGAATTTCTTGTCGCGCTAAATTAAAGAATAATATATATTATAAAAAAAAATATTATAAAATTATTAATACTGTTTTAAAATTTAAAAAAATTAACATCATTAATATTTTTTACTATAATTTAAGTTATAAAAATATATAAAAAAATTAACAATACAGTATGACATTACCTGGAATTGGAGTATTTGGTACAGGAAGTATTGTTAGAATAATAATTCCCTTTTTAAGAGAAAAGGGTTTTAGAATTGAAGCTATATGGGGACGTACATTAGCAGAAGTATTAGAAGTTGCAACTGATCTTGAAATACCATTTCATACTAGTCGAATTGATGATGTACTTCTTAGAAAAGATGTTGATTTAATTTTTATTATGTGCTCACCTAGTTTACATGCACAAATTGCAGTTAAAGCATTAGGAATAGGGAAACATGTTGTATGTGACAAACCTGCTGGTTTAAGTCAAAGTGAAGCCTTAAAAATGGTACGAGCTGCACAATATTATCCTTCTTTAATAAGTATTGTTAATCATAGTTTAAGATTTTTACCAGCATTTGTTCATATGAAGAAAGCTTTAGAAGAGGGATATTTAAAAGGTCCTGTAAATGTTATAGAAGTTAGAGTACACATGGGAAGTTTGTTACATAATGGTTAGAATATTATTTAATATAAAAAATTATTAAAATATTTATCAATTATAATTTTATTTATTATTATAGGATATGATTGGTTGTGTGATGATACAATGGGAGGAGGAATTTTAGCTTTAGTTGGAAGTCATGTAATTGATTTAATCTTTCATTTAATTGGTCAACGTGCTTCAAGAGTACATGCTGTAGTTCGAACTTTCACTCAAACTACAAAACATATAAATGGAATTAGACATGTAACATCACCAGATTTTTGTAATTTTCAAATGGAATTGAGTGGTGGTACATTGGTAACAACAACATTAAGTAATCATTTACAAGGTCAACTTTCTCAAGAAATATTAATATGTGGAGGAGGTAATCATCTTCTTGCACGTGGTGGAGATTTATATGGTTGTTGTAATGGACAAGAAGAAATATTATATCATGATATAGATGATTTACATGATATATCATTTCCTATTGTGAACTCCATTCCAAGGCCATATATTAAAGGATTAAGGAAAATGATTGCTGCACTAAGAGAAGCTTTCCAATCTGTTGAAGATAAAAAAGGTTGGATAAAAGAACCAGTATTTTCTGCATCATCTTTTGAAGATGGTTTATATGTACAAGCAGTTATTGATGCTTTACGACAAAGTAATAAACGACGAGAATGGATAAAAGTTAATATTTTAACAGAAGAACCAGATCCAAATCCTTTATTAAGTGCAGCTGTTAGGGCTACAGCTATATCTATATAAAATAAATTATTTTACATTAATAAAGAAGATAATATAGGAATAAAATTGTACGAATGTAATATTTCATAAATATATTATTTGCAAAACAGTTTCAAAAGCAATTTAAAACAAATTACAATATATTTTAATTAAATATTTCATTAATATAAAAACACAAAATATATGTTTTATAATGTAAATAAGTTATGTGTATATAAGTATATATATTTAAGAATTATTATATTATTATTTGTATTTCTGTCGAAATATCTAACTTGAATAATATTTATAAAGAAATATATATATATATATATATATATATATA